GCAAATTTAGTGAAAAAGAAAGCTACCTTCAGCTGCTCCTTTATTCACAAGAGGACACCACAGCAGTTAGCACCCCATGTTTTACGTGGGATGCTCTAAATAACCCCAAAGGGACTTGTATTGCTTCCTAGTTTTAAACTGGGAAGCTTTTGCTTGTTACGTGAATGTGTGAACCACTAGACTACTGAGACACATAACTTTAGTTAAATTAATATATAAAAAGTCAGCAGGGGCAGTCATCTTTGTATGAAAGTTTCATTTTGAATGTAGTCGGTTTGAAAAGAACGCACAAAAGGCTGCACAGTCCTTGATGGCAAAGTCTCGCTTTGCTATCAAAAAGTTTGTTTTTCAGTGCAAGAGATTAATTTTCATGGCCTTTACATGAACTGGATCTGTTTGGCCCTTCTCACAAAAAAAAAGAAAAGAAAAAAAGCTGAAGTATCAGATACCCTTCAGTATTGTCAGAGAGCATGACTTAAATCAGCAAAAGTAGGGCAGGCTGAAAGAAACAAAACAGCATAAGATATAAAAACTGCTCCTGAATGAAAAACACAAAAATTAGACTAAAGAAAGAAGGAAAAGAAGAAAAACAACAAGAGCAAAGCTGAAAGGATCTGTTGGGTAGCAATAAGCTGTTATAGGATTATCATATAATTTTGCTTTCTTCTATTTATCTGACGGCACGAAAGCCAAAACCACAAGGATGTTTCACAGTTTTAAAACAGTGTTGTCCAGCTTCTCTTAGAGCTATAGAAGTATAAGCAGGTTATCTCTGTTATTTGTGAAAGAAATTATGGAATATGGTCTCTCAGAACTGAGAATCAAATTATATGTAGAAAATGTACAATGACAAATGTAACCAGAAGAGGTGAAGCTGTAGAAGTTGTTTACATAATGTGCTTTTTATGCAACTGATGCATTGGTGGAGACTGGAATGAATTGGCTCCCCTGACACGCTTCATTACACTGAGCTATATATTTTACCCCTGAGGTCAGGGAAGCCACTTGTTTAAGCTGTAATAAAGCACAAATCTCACCCCGTACACTTCTAATGTAGAGTAAGGTGTTAGTCTCACAATTCAGGTGGCTGATACCCAGAAATCCTACCAGTGGCTGGACAAAGCTGGACTGAAAGACAGCATGGAGGCACTAATCATGGCAGCACAGGAACAAGCTCTGAGTACAAGATCCATAGAGGCTGGGGTCTATCACACCAGGCAAGACCCCAGGTGCAGGCTGTGTAAAGATGCCCCAGAGACAATCCAGCACATAACAGCAGGGTGCAAGATGCTAGCAGGCAAGGCATACATAATGATAACCATCATAGTAGTAGACTCTATGTATAGCATCAGTCTATATATATTATAATTATATATTATAAGAGATAAGACTATATTATATATATATATTATATATATATATATATATATATAATATATTCCCATGTTAAAAAGAGGAGAAGGCCAACACTGATAATGTGATCTGAGCTCCTGTGCTGTGAGGAGTTTCTATATTTCATTTTTGCAGTTCCATCACTGATCTGACAGAATTTCACACTGCTGTCATGAAACGAAAGTGTTATGTAATACAGCCCGGTATAAGAGGCAAAAATAAATAAATAAATAAATAAGATGAAATGTAGTTCCTTTACTAACAGCACTAACAACCATCTGTCACCTTATAGTTCAACTCCAGGTTTATGCCTTTACTAACCTTTTCTATATCATTTAATAATAAAAATCATTTGATAACTCAGTCAAAGTTCAGAGAAAGTGTCTGACTTTTCTGCCTACAGAGAGTCTTTCAGAAAGTGAAACATTTTCAAACCTAAACATAAATCAGTATTTATCATGAGCATTTTAGTCCACTGGCTGAATCAAGTAAATGCAGTGGACCGGTGACGTCTAATTAAACGTTTTAGCTTTTTACTTTTCACTGTTTGCCCAGATTATGATTAGTTAAGCAAATTCAACTATCACTACATTGCACATTTCACACTGACTGCTTTTTGATTGGGATAAGGTACTGAGTAAATCAGCCAAATAAACATATGAACATGACTGAATATGGACACGAAGCAATATTATTAAAAAGTTTGTAGAATAGTTGATGTTCAAGTCTATTTAACCTTTTTTTCAGACCACAATTGTATACATAATGTGTAGTAATATATGTATATATATATATGTATATATGTATATATATATATATATGTATATATATATATATATATATTGTATATGTATATAAATGATGTTAATGCCATAACCGCAATAATGCGGTAAATCTCCATTAGCAACTTAGCGTAGATCACCCTGTGCATGGGGGGTGGGCGGTTTTAACAATATTAACAATATTAATGTTAAAATCGCTAGTACATACATATATGTACACATATATCTGTACGTCACTTTAATTAAAAGATGTACTGGACAAAAGCACATTGCAGCTTAAGAAAATACATAGATGTTGACTCGATGTAGCTGTAAATACTCATAACACATCCTAAGGGCATAATAGTGTCACAGTGTCTTATTAACTTTAGAAATGGAAAAAGTCCTAATCAACAAGTTTAGCTGAAAGGGCTAAACTTTGATATTGGCTAAAATATACCTATGAAAACCAACCTCTCAGCATCCACTGTCAGTAGTTCTTGTTTTATATGTCAATATTTTGATAATTTTATACGTTTTCTGGCTTCTTAATTTCATAAAAAATATCTTCTTTAATTTATTATTCTATTGGTACCAGTGCAAAAAAAGTATCCCAGAATTCCCACAGAAATGTAACTCAAATCAACATATGTAAGAGCTCGACATTCACTGAAAGCCTAGACAGATTAACAGACAGCACTTTTCTTTGCAGACAGTTGTGTCAGTCACTATTGCACTGCTTTAAAGCAGACACCACAGGTATTTGGACTGTTCTGTGATGAGGATCCTAATTAGCCGCTACATTCCTTAATTAAATGAGTTCAGAGCTAAATAGTGTAACACAAGCACACATGTCAGTGGTGCTGACTTTGTAGTGTCTAATTTAGCAGACTTAAAAAAGGCTACTTTGTTAGAACAGCTTCTTGATGAACCAAGTCTTCTTCATGTGATATGCATACCGCAATGTGCAAAATTCTGAGTTATTTTGAATGCTCTGATTTTTATCCACCACACAACACCATGTGTGACGTGTCTGACTGGTCCTAAATGTTTTTCTGCAGCAGGAGAAAGAGACCAAGTAACCAGCCAGTGCTAAAAACCTATCTTTAGTGACTGGATGGACAGTGTCCTGCAACAGATGGCATGGCCTCCAAAGAGCCCTGATATGAACATCACTGAGTCAGTCCTAGATTACATGTAGAGACAGAAGCAACTGAGACAGCCTGAATCCACAAAAGGACTATGGAAAGTTTTCCAGGGTGTTTAGAACAACTTAGTTGCAAAGAACAAAAAACCCCAAATAAACCCAAACAAACTGTACTTAGGAGAATTTGTTTCAAAGAAAACCACAGGCAAGTAAGAATCTGATTGGGATTTTTCTTTCTGTTTACTTTTGTTTGCTTATCAACAGAAAAGCCAGCATGATATGTGGCACTACTTTTCTAACCATTGTCTCTTTCCTTTTAATGACAATAATTATTTGAATGCCGATTTAGGTTACCTCTAACTAAATTTATAGTACATTATGCTGACTAAGATATGTGTTGTGAACAAGGACAAAATAAAGCCTTAACATTTCCCAAACTGCACATGAATCTATTAAAGTATGATGATTGGAATTGAGACACACAAACAATGGCTTTGCTGGATAGAAAGACAGACAGTTAGTCAGAGATTTTAAGCTATCCACTCTATATAGCTAACAAAACACATGGCAGGCAGTCAAGCTCATTATAAAAAGGACAGTTAGAACTGGTTACCACAGATAGGCAGTGAGCCAGTGACAAAGAAAGATCTATAGCAAAACAGATGGTCAGACACATGCTGACCCCATGAGACAGACATATAGAGAGCTAGTTAGTCAGATAGACAGCTAGTCAGAAAGAAAAGCAAGGCAGCTTGTCAAAATGAAGCACAGACAGGTTTCCTTCTGTAGTTGACTTTCATTGATCCAACTCAATGCTGAGAGTGCATTTCTGCAAAGAGTAGCAATGACAGAAAGAAATCCAAGGACAGAGCTTTGTAAATGTAAGCCAACATGTCAAACACATGGAGGACTCTGCTAAAGTGACCAAGTTACAGTTGGGAACTTGCCTGGGGCCCCGGTATTCTGATGGCTTGCTTTACTATACACTATATCAACTTTAGCTCAGTTGTTTTCAGTACTGGAAAAATAAAACAGATTTATACTGCCTTCTGGACTCCACTCTTCCCAGAACTAAAAAGATTAGCCAGCAGAGACAAAGTCTCATCTGATGAATGGCAATGCAGCAAAAGGCTTTATATGCCCACTTCATTCTCCTACCCTTCCACTGCCTTGCCAATCACTCCTTGATCCACAGTGAATTGCCCAAATGTGGGTCACAAAAGGTCTGGTTCACAGGGAACTCATAGTGAAAATAATTAAACAGAAATGAAGAACATTTGAGAATATATAAAGTACTGTTGGGACACATCCTCACAGATGACTGCACCACAAATGAGCCAATTAAGCTCATACTTGTTTCTTCATGACAATACTGCTAAAACTGAATGCAGCAGTGAGATGTCGTTATTTTTTTTTCCCTCCTGAACTTTTGATTTATTTTTTAACAGCGGGAAGTACAGTATGTGATTGTGTGGGAGTGATGATGTTCCTTCAGCTTACTTCTCACTTGGTCTATTCTTTTAGGCACATGAATTCTCAGCGTTAATACGGCTTTACTGCAGCAGCAGCCTGATCTTCATCTCAGAAGATAGTTATAGGATATTTACATTTAAATGAAAGCAGTGAAACCATCTTACATACAAATGTCATGTTTATGAGATATATTTGTTGTTAAGGTGCTCTCGTTTTTCCCAACTCACCGTAGTCGCTCTCGTAAAAGATGATGAACTTCTGCCAGTGCAGTTCAGATACAAGAGTGAGCAGGACGTCGCTGATTCGAACAGGTGGCCGTGCAGCCAGTGTGTAGCTCTCTCCGTCTGGGCTCGGGTTGAGCTGACAGGCAGTACGGGGTGCGCCATCCCCATTTCTTTGAATGAAGAGGTGGGGGATGTGCATTGCATCTGTCAGAGACTGCAGGGCACTTGCAGCTGCACAGCCTGTAGATGTAACCAGCGCGAGGATCCCTTGGTTCATCAGCTCGCATGCTGGACAGAAGACAAAAAAACAAAACAAAACAGACTTTGTGAATACGCAAAGAAAGAACACAGGAAGAAATTAAGGGCAAAGCACTGAGAAACATTTTATTGGGAAAATTAGATTAGAAGAAGAAAAGGAATAAGATATGAAAACATAATCAATTCCGACATGGATTTAATTTTAAAATAACATATTTTTTTCCACTTGGTCTTAAAAAAAATAATAAGATGCTATATCCTACTTAAGATTATTTCTGACCCTTAGTTGAGAAATGATCACTAAAAGTTGGAGGTTTGCCCTAAAGTTATAATATAATGTGTAGCTGAGAGATTCAGTGGAAGATGAGGTTGATGAGTGAGTGTATCTTCTAATCCTTGTCCACAGACAAAAAGGGAAAGCGCTTGCTAACGGAAACTGCTACTTGAAAACAGCAGAGAGCTACCTGAGACTGTGGGGTTCTTATCAAAACAGAAGAGGTGGCTAAGTGGGAAGACTCTGGCATGAATAAAAATCAGGAATATTTTAAGATGTAATGATGCCTCATGTGAGTCCCAGCTTGATATGGTCCTACATATCCTTCACTCTTTCTCTTGGTTTTATGTGTAATGGTGGTGAAAATCTGTAAACAAGCAGGGATTAGGACTGCAGACACATGCTTGTAATGTCTGTGGTGGTTTTAAAGTCCCTACATCTCTATTTACACGTGCAATTTTGGGGGGGGGATCTATTTTTGATCCTCTTAGGGAAGGTCACCACATCTAGCGGAACAAAATGACACATCTTTCAAAGATGAGGTACTCAACAAGATACTTTTATATCTTCAAATAACTGATTACATTTAACCCTTTAAAGTGTGAACCATGAAATTATTGGCAGAAAATTATATTTTTTTGAAAACTTAGTGCTTATTGAACCTTCTTACAGATAAAAAAAATATTTATTTATTTTTATTATTATTAAATTATTGTTATATTTGCATCAAATTTGCTAAACCTGTGTAAATGTATTGCATTATGCTATTTTCACAAGCCCTAAGACTCATTCTGACCCCGTATCAGTTTCTCATCTTATATTCCTGTCATGTTTCTAAGATGAAAAAGTGTTAGCCCTTTAATGTTGACCTAACCCTTCCCCCGGAGTATGCTCCCGTTTTCCCTTTGGTTATGAGATGCAAAACAGAGAAAAACACAATCACCACAAAAGAGAAAGTGATAGGAATACAAATGCAAAACAGCTTAAATGAAGAATATTGAATTTGCATTTAATTTCAAGCTCTATCTCTGTTATGTGCTGCATAATCATCTACTACAGGGATTGTCGAATTTTGCATGTGACATGGGACAGTCTATGACAAATGTTGCTTTTAAAATTCAACTCACTGTCTCTCGCACAGCAGGGCTTTTATAATTGCACAAACAGCTGAGCATAATGTACAAAACAGCAATTAAATGTTCTCTCACTGAATTTCATAATACTTCCTAATTATATGGTCTACTTCAGTGTCTACAGAATCTGGCACAAAGGAAAAATGATGCGGTCTAATACCAAATTATATCATTCAAACCCCTTCATAATAAGTACACAAACATATCATAAACATGAAAGTAAGATATGATATTAAAACCTTCGTGCAAAAGTGAAAAAAAGAGAAAGGTTTTTGTGATGAAAATAAATGAGAATAAGGGTCTGAGAAGAAGTGGTGAGGCGAGATGATACTGAGTGGAGACATAGTGGGAGAGGACTGTGGATGTGTGTGTGAGAAAGTATGGCAGAAGAGCTGGACTATTAATGTGACAAATGGCGATTTCATCTGCTGACTGCATGCACATGACTACATTAGTGCACTCTAAATCACGACTAGAGGAAGTATGAGGAAACTAAGTAACATACTAAATAGGAGACAGAATGAAGGAATATTGGGCATCTCAGGTAGACGGGCATGCACTGTATTCGTGGTTGTAGTGGTTTAAGTAAAACAAGAAAAAAAGAATAAGAATAGAAATGCGAGAGAATTAGGAAAGGGGTGCGGGAGTAGTGGAGAGATTATTTGTAGCTTTTTGCATGAATGCTCAGGGGAATTCAAGAAAATGTTCCTCAGGCCAGGAAGTGTCTTACAGTTTGTACATGAGTGGGAGAGACAGACAGACAGTCATACATGCAAGCCAAGGTGTGCAAAAGGGCATTTGGCAAATTTTCTGTAGGGCACCATGAAATACCTTTATGTTGCCCAAGTCATGCCAGCAGCAGTGATCAAATCTAGTACATGCTTCAACTTGGATACAACATCTAAATGTGTCTGTTGGCAACAACAATATGTATTGAACTACACACTGGAAAAAGTCTGCTCCCAAGAGTTACCGATTCTCTTTTAACAAGTTTCACTCTCAGGTGCAGCCTACTCACTACAAACTTTACAGGGTTGGGAAGGGTGTAATATTGGCTTGAATTCCAGCTTCCTGTGCCATTAAGATACTTGTAATAGACCTGGATCAGTTTGTTCATTGACAGAACATACAGTATATGAATTCTAAGTTGAAATGATGAGTTTGGGACTGTCCATTTCAGATTTTGGTGAATACAGAAAAGAAGAAATGCATAGTTTGCACATTTCATTGATTACCAAGGGACAGCCATTTTTTAAAATGAAGGCAAGGGCAGGAAGTATAACATTCCAAAGGGTTTATGGGTAATAAAACACATTTCTGCGAGTATTAAGCAGTAGCATAATAAACTGCAGTATAAATAAACGACTGGTTGCACAAATGACTTTTCTAATGTAAGGCAGAACAGAAGGAAGTTATAATAAAAAAAAACCCCAAAAAGGAGCAAACATAACAAAAACTTTAGTATCTGGTATATTTTAACCTAATCTGAACACCTTTATTTTTATTTTAAGTGTGAGATTCAAAGCTCAAAAGCAGAGCTTTACAAGGAAAGCACTGGCTGATTTTAGGATATCAGTGAAAGGTGAATCCCGAGGACTGAGTGACATGGAATTAAAATGAGAACCTTTCATTTTAATGTTTCACACTGTGTGCCTGAAATACAAGTACTGAGCCAGGTTAGAACTGGGAATTTTATTTTATCATCGCATCTGAGCAAACATAATCATCCCCAAAATGTTAAACGTGCAATTTATTAACTGATTATAAATCTGTATTTTGTGCTTCATGCATAGTGTAATTATTTACCTAATGTTCCATCAGCTGTCATGCAGTGAACTGGAATCGTCACCTTCATTTGTGCTATAGGATCAGGACAGAGTCACCTCCCCTAACCTCTGTGTTTCAGGTGCTTTTAGCAGGCTGTGGCTAAAGTGTCTTCAGCCATTTTGGCTTCGTAATGGACACCCCAGGCCCATTATACAGCAGACAGCCAACTGACAGGAGGGAGGAGTACTCTATAGTCATTGGCAAGGATGATAATGGTGGAATAATGACTCTTAAATGTTCCCCCTGAAGTCGACAGAGGCCATCCTTCATTTCCTGCAAGCTATCTGACAACCAGAATCAGCATACAACAGCACTCTTATTCATGTGTCATATAAAAAACCTCACTTTTCCAGAATAACACGTGCAAAATACTCTAAATTCACATAGTTGATTAACATTTACTTTAACTAATTGGAAGAATTTATAAACTACAAATTAAGGCACATGATGCTACAAAGTAACAGCTCAAATGGGGAAGCAGAAGTTACTGTATTTGGAAAGAGAGATTCAGTAATCTATCATGGCCACGGTGGAGAATTCGTCATTTTCTTCTATCAGTAACGATATGGTTGATCGATGGACAATGAATTCAGTAGGTGTATGAATTTTTAAACACTTTTAATCAAAGCTGCATATCTTTAAAAACTTGATAAACCTCTCATCACAATAAAATACATTCCTCCCTGATCAGCAAAAGCACATGGCATTTTTCTGCTCAAGTCCTCGCCTCATCCGACCAGTTCAGTTTTGTGCAGATGGGCCATGGAGCGAGAAAATTATCATCAAGACACCAGACTGGAAAAAGACACTGCAATCTGTTTTCCCACGAAAACGGGATGTCATCAGTGTCTCGCCCTCATTTTACCAATGTAATATGAAGGGATGAAACAAAACACCACACCACTGCCTTGGTGAATATTGCATAAATTGGGCCTGTCTCAGTGATTTCACAGCCTAAATAAGACAGTCTCATTTAGTTTGCTCTGACTCAGAGCCCGATCCTAGGATACAAAGGAGGGAATCAACACTGAGATAAATGGTGCGTGTTGTCAACGCAACTCTTCCCTACAGTGACAGTGGTGTAACTCTGATCTAATTGAGACAGCTTGTAATACAAGATTCAGAATAAAATGCTTTATCTTCATTTATGATGGGAGATTTTATATTAATCTGGGATTATTTGTCAGAGTATTAAGGTGCTACAATGCTTTTTGCTGTTTTGATAATAAGCGCACATCTATTTATTCTGAATATCAAAATCATGATATTTCAGTATTAACTTGAATGTAATTAAAACAGATTTTAATGAATTATTGATTTAACAAATTTTCCACAAAGAAAATACCACAAGCTTTAAATAATAATTTAAACCCACCATATGTTTACATTCAAACTTCTACTTGGATCAAACTCAACTCCGTCAGCACACTGATTACTATATGAAGGGCACGGACTGAAATGCTCTGCTGCTGAATTAGTCATTGATGGCTTTGGAACACAGTGGACTTCTTTTTATGTATTAGCTGTTGGATAATTTGCAAGAGCTTTAAAATGTCCATATTGTGCACAGCTAAGAGGAGACGGGATGTTTTGTCTCATTTCTTATAAATGGGTCCTTCCACACTGCTTTTGGCAGCTTCCCACAACATAATAGGACTTCACCACACAGAAGGGACAAATGGGAGAGATCAGTATATGGCAGCTGGACCAAGACTCCATTCAACAAATAAATGTGCGGCAACATTGCACCTGCAGTAGGTATGAGCCATTTCTAAATCAAGCTCTCTTCTTCACTCTCTCAATCTCATCTTGTGCTCTCTTTTGGG